GATTACACCGGAGCAATGCAAATTAAAATGACTAAAACAGATGAGCATACCATCCCGGCATACCTCATTATCTTTACATGCCTCACAACCAGGGCAATCCATGTTGAGATAGCCCTTTCCAACCAAACACAGGAATTTCTCATGGCATTTAAACGCATGATCAACACTAGAGGAATGCCCCAAACTATGTTCAGTGACAACGCAAAAACCTTTAAAAGAGCAGAAAAAGAACTAATGGAAACAATTCAAATGGCAAATCAAAAACTAAAAAATGCTGCAGACACATATAAATTTGCATGGAAATACTCCACAGAACTCGCGCCCCACATGGGGGGAGTATGGGAACGACTCGTAAAATCAATCAAAGTACCCTTACGAAAAGTGTTAGGACAGGCCCTAGTAACGTACACAGAACTCATCACTATCTGTAAGGAAATTGAAGGACAAGTGAATGACCGACCGCTCGCAGCTGCGTCGGAGGATACACTCCAAGTCATCACCCCCTCACTATTGATTTTAGGGCGAAAAATTAGACCATGGGTAGACAAATTTAGCGAAACCACATTTGCCCAACCACAAGACATCAGAGAACGGTGGAAATATCGCAACCAGCTTACTCAACAATTTTGGAACGCGTGGAAAAAGACATACCTCCCATCTCTTCAACAAAGGCACAAATGGTACTCCAAATGCCCCAATATCAAAATAGGGGATTTAGTCCTAATCGAAAAAGAGAACATAAAAAGAAATGATTGGCCAGTAGCTAGAGTCCAACAAGTTGTTACAGGCAGAGATGGCCTTGTCCGGTCACTGCACCTCCGAATCCCGTCCAAAGGTCCAGGCCCAACGACGCACAAAATTGTTACCAGAAGCGTACACAATGTCTTCCCATTGGAGGCCACGATCGAATCACGACATGATCACGATGTAGGCCAACCAATTGTAAACAAACGCCTGTTGCAATCGACAGCCGGAACGTCTCCAAAAAAGCGACAAAAAGACGCTCCGTCACGACAAAGAATTCACTTCTGTCCGTGACTCCAATCAGG